GCAAAACCGATGCCAGCTCCGGTGCAAGGAAACGCTTTCCCCAGGGCGCGGGAGGCCACTCTGAGCGCGCCGGGGTGGGAAGCAGCTCTGCCCTGCTGCCCCCCCAGCCCGAGCTTCGTTCCCACGCTGGGGACCCCACACCGCTGGGGTTTGGGGGCGCAGGGCCTCCAGCAGCATCTCCTCCCCAAAACCAGCGAGCACTAGAGGGCAGCAAGTCCCAGAGCTGGGACAGCCGTGGGGAAAAAGCTGGGCAAGGAGAAGAGGGAATAAAAAAAAATAAAATAATAATATGCATGGACAGCTGAGAGAAAGGGGAGGTATATTTGAGTCCCTCCTTCTCTGGGAAGCAATAGGATTCCCCCCCCCCCCCCAAAAATGTACAAAATATATATTTATATATATCTGAGGTAAATAACAAGGCTGTAAAAAAAGCAGAGAGGAGCAAACGGTTCTGGTATCAATCCCCTTAAAAAAATAATGCATCATAAATATTTTCAAAGAAAATATGAGGATCTCCCTCCCTCCCTCTCATGCACACATAAATATATTTTATATTATGGATTAAAAAATATGTTTTTCTTCTGTAAATTCACAAAGTGGAAAAATAGAGGAAGAAAAAAGACTGTGCACAAAAGGACAGGGCTGGGAAGAGCTGCTCATTTTAGAGAGCTCTTACAAAGTGCTTCTGGACGTGAGTGTGTGGCGGGGGGGAAAACAAAGAAAATAGAAAAGAAAATGCACCAACAAAAATCAATGAGTGAAACATGTGCAGACAGCTTCTGGAGGGGGTGATGTGCTAGACGTCACTGGGGGACCTGGACCGGAAAGGCATCGTGGAAGAGAAGCACCCACAGCACACAGTCCACAGGACTTTCCGGATCTCTTGGTTTCTGAAGGCATAAATAACCGGGTTGATCATGGAGTTGTAGGTGGCAGGGAGAAGGGTCATGTACGTGTAGAGGGCTGGGTAGCTGTAATCCCCCAGGAGACAGTAAATGGCAAAGGGCAGCCAGCACGAGGCGAAGGTACCCAGGATGACGGCCAAGGTGGCGATGCCTTTTCGGGTGGTGACGTAGTGGGAGCTGGCCAGGAAGTGTCTCTGCACAGCGATCTGGTGGGCGTGCCGGCACACGATCTTGCAGATCTGCATGTAGAGCTGGAGCATCACTGCAAAGACCATGAAGAAGGAGACGGAGAGGATGATGAGGTGGTTCTTCATCAGCGGCTTCACAACACTGCAGGCAGAGTGGTCCTTCAGGCAGTTCCAGCCCATGATGGGCAGGAGCCCATAGCAGATGGAGGCTCCCCAAGTCAGGATCAACATGATGTAAGTCCTGGTGACTGTCCTCTCCGAGTAGTAGGTCAGGGCATTGTAGAGAGACAGGTAGCGGTCAATGGTAATGGTCAGCAAGCTGCTGACGCTAGCTGTGAAGGAGGTGACCAGGAGCCCCACCGTGAGCAGGCTGACTGCCTCTGATGGGATGAAGTAGATGAAGGCAAAATGCAGGATCAGCCCCAAGCCAGCCAGGAGATCAGCTGTGGCCAAGCTGCCGATGAGGAGGAACATAGGAGCCCGGAAAGTTGGGGTGTAGAAGATCACCACCACCACGATGGCGTTCTCACAGGAGATGATGGTCCCCGAGATGCAGAGGGCAACATCCCATGGGTTCAAGGCAAGAGGTCGCACCACAGACTCCAGGTCCAAGGAGCTGCCACTCCCGTTCCTGGCCGCAAACCAACCTTGCTGGCCTCCAGTGGAGTTGTGGGGCCCTTCCTCCATCATGCTGCCGGAGGCCAACCTGCAGAAGTGGAAAGCAAGAGTGTCCCTCTGAGCACCCCACTGCTGACAACGGGCGCCTGCCTGAACCAGCCCAGAGCAGCAAGTCCCTGGAACCATCCTGGCCCCACGGTCCCAGGCACAGCCCTGTGCGCCTGTCTCCCCTGGGCTTCCTCCAAGAGTTGTCTCCACTCTGAGCTCAGAAGCCAGGCAGGACCAGAGTCAGTTTAACCTCCGTATGTTTACAGCATGCTCACTGTTTGCTCAGAGAGGGGATTTTTCTGGACAAGGGGTTTTGTTTTTCTTCCTTTGCAAGCAAAAAAAAAAAAAAAAGAAAGAAAGAAGAAAGGAGAAGCAGCTCAGCCTATCTGCTCCTGCCTGCATCTGCTACCCTGGAGCTGCCCAGAAGGGGTTGTGCATTGCACAATTTTGATGGATAACTAGTCCAGAGCAGGACTGGCCTTGCCACCCTCCTGCAGCAGCTCTGGGCAGCTCACCTCCCACCTGAGGACTTCAGCAGAGAAGTTGCAGGGGATAAAAAGCAGCAGGTGAAGAGGGCAGGGGGGGGAGGCAGAGCCCAGGCCAACTCATCACCTCTCCAGCACCGAGAGCTCAGCAGAGGCAGAGACACCTTCCCGGCCCTGCATTGCATCCCCTGCCTGGGGGCTGCCTTTCCTGGGTGGGGAGGGGATCGGGAAGGCAGTACAGCCCCTCGGAGTGG